CTGTTGTGAATCGTCTCCCTTTATTTGTTGCAGTTGGTGTAGAAATAACTTTTGCTTCCAACATTTCTTTTCTGATTATCATTTTCATCATAATTTATATGATTTATCTTAAAGTAGTTGTTATGCGGCACATACATTAGCTATTTTTTCGTTTTTCTTCTTTCGGTACGCAATGCTACCGATACACATTGTTAAAATTAGGTCAGATATGAGAATGAATATACTATTGTGAAAGACTACGATTATCTTACAATTCTAGGAAATACTAGATGTAATGACATATAGAACGATATTATTACTGTCTAAAGTTAATAATTGCATCTTCCCAAGGTTGTCTGAGCTCAAATTCTCACATTGTGTCCTACATGACTAATACTATTTGTGACAAAAATCTTGGTTCATTTCCGTATGTATTGTTTGGCATATTATTTTTTGGTGATAAAATAACCCTTATAATTATGATAATGAAAATGCTCTAGCGCCTCAGAAACAAGCCAGAAACCCGAACTTTTTTTACCGTAAGCATAACTCACTACGGGCTACAAGATGCACGAAACCCCGATTGAAAAGCGCTCCCGCACCTTGGAAGGTTCCCTAGTAAGTGATTTTTCGTTAGTAAAACTGATAATGCTTATATAAATGAATAAATTCAAATAAAAGATGTTCTTTAACAAAACATGGTAGAATTTTTAAACCACGAAAAACAACACCGTTAGAAAAATTATGCATACTAATTATTCGATAGAAATGAAGAATGAATTTATGACAATGCTGTAAATGATACGCTATTCCAGGCAGTAACCGATAAGCATAGATTACTTCTATTGTAGCAATATGATCGATAAAAGTGACTAATGAAGAATAACAACATTTTTTATCTTTCAATCATATTCTATCGGTATTACATGCGAGAGATCTATAATTAATCATCATAATAATAAACAAATGTAGACTGAAAGCTTTGAGCATGATAAAAAAATGATTTCACAGAGAAACCGATAATAAAAGACATTAGATCACAAAGAAAACAAACATGTGTTCTTGCCAATTCGCTTTGCCTAATAAACAGAACATCATAAGAAAAACATTCACTCTATTTTTTTTTTGAGTAGATGACAAAAAACAGAAAGAAAAAAATGTCGAAAGGGAAAAATATCAAAAATAGAAATATCGAAAACAAAAATATGAGATGAAGATGAGGATGAGAGAAACTTGTACTTGAATATACTCTTGTTTTCACCATTTCTAGCCATCAACATTTCTATTATTATATTATTTTCGATATTTTTATTTTCGACATCTTTCTCTTTCTCATACTATGTTTTTTCTCCATTGTGTTCAATCGTCCAAAATGTTAAGGAATGAATCAGTGGTCAATATCGGTCACATAGACAATGACTGCTTACTCTATTGGTCATATTGATTCATTATACTTTTATATACTATATTCATTATGTATGTCATATATATGTATTCTTAGTTCAGTTTGTCAGTCAATGAAATGAAGAATCCAACTTTATTTGAAGATTTATCGAACGAAGTGTTATGTGAAATCTTTGATTATTTAAATGCATTCGATCTATTCTTAACATTTGCTTCGCTTAATGAACGTATTTCAACTATTCTAAAATATATTCGTTTTCATATAATTGTCGATTCGATGTATTGTCGCTATCAAATTGAATTTCTGTCTCATCATCTGACATTTCATTCTCATCAAGTTATTTCGTTGGATATATGTAATAAAATCTGTGATCAAATAAATACTATTGCCTATCTTTTTGACCGATATGAATTTCCTAGTCTTCGTTTCTGCACATTTCGATGTCTTGATGCATCATCCAAACTAAAAAATGTCATCAAACAATTAAAGAAACAAACTCAACTTGTATCGCTTCATATATTTCAATCTTATGATGCTAAATATGATTACTTGAGCAGAAATCATGCACATCTATTTAGTGAAATGGTTTTGTTAAACATACCATTATCACTTCATTGTGCCACTCTTCGATTTCATTATGATTATTCTCAATTAATAACAAGTACGATTATAAATACAAATCTTACATATCTTGAATTATTGTTTTACGGAACTTTTGATAAGATATCGATTTATTCTCTAATATCTGTTCTTCGTATTTACAAATCATTGCGACAATTGAATGTTATAATCAAAAGTCCAAATATGATACAACACAATACTAATTTCAAGTAAGATTGTTTAAATAAATAACATTATCAATCATCTACTTATATAATACGAGAATAAATGAAATCAGTCACTTTTTTAGAGAATGAAACATAAAACGATATATATTTTTTTTTTAGTATTTCAAATGCTTTATCTATAAACAAAAACGATTTACCTATAGTAGCATCATTAAAAAAATTCGATTTGCAAATATTGACACAGTTTGATATACATTCACTTGGTCTTATTCTTCATTGTATGCCTAATCTTCATGAAATTAGTTTTACATTTATTACTAAAGATCTTAATACACCATTTATTGATGTTTTACTCAATGGAAATATTTGGCAACAAATATTGATAAGTCATGTGCAATATTTGAACAAATTCAATATTCATATATCTCTTCTTACGGATGAAGGATTATTCGATTTAAAGTCAATTCTTGACTCGTTTCGATGTTTTGTCACACAATTTGATGGTTGGCATATGGCTATTAGTCGATTGGAAACCTTTGAAGGGCCCAGAACATGTAAGTGGAAGAAAAGATATTGTTTGCTTGATGGAACTTTGATAATGAGAGTAGAGGCAAGAAAAAAAATGGAACACCTTTCTCACTCTCGTTGTTTATTGGCAAAATTAAAAGAAAATAAGGTTCTTTTCGTTTTATACCAAAAGGAAAATTCTAAAAAACTCATTCTATGATAGCAGAACTAAAGGCTAAACATTATTTGTGGAACTTTAATATTTTCGATATATCTTCAATGCCTGTTTGTTTTGATGAGAATGATTATTTTTGAAAGTATGAGATATAATCACAAGTAGCAAAAATAATCACTTCTCTACTTCAGATTTCCTTGTCATTCTTGAAGTACTCCTAAAAATTTCAGCCTTGCCGTTTCTTTCTTAATATGTAACACGGAGAAAGGTATGAAAATATTGTTTAATGGAGATGAAAAGCATATTAGTTGGTAGAACTTGACTTAACGAATCTAATGATATAAGTTTCAATCAGAAAGCATTCAATTTTTTGTCTGAAAATGTGTTTTTTTTCAGCAATCTTATATATTTTAGTTGAAATGATGGAATTATGAAGAGGATAAAATAAGGATAAAGCTGAAGTAGATTTTCGTGTTTCAACTATTACTCAATGAAATCTTATCATGTTTTCATGAGAATAATATAGATCGAGAGAGAAATGTTTGATCTAATTGATGATGAAGAAATGAACTGCAATGTATTGAGAGAAGCAAAGATATTGAAGTTCTTTTGAAGAAATTTAACATACTGATAGACGTTAAAATAATCATTCTATGTTTAGACGAACGGATTGTTTTGCGCACATTAAACTACCAACATCTCCTAACACAACATGAATATTATGAAATAACAAATATACGTTGTAGCACAATTGAAATGATATCAACATATTCATCAGATACGAATAATTATCGCTTTCAATCTCACATCAACTCAATAGAATTTTTTATGTCAAGATGTATAGAAAGGCAACCTGTTCAATCATCTTCAAATATTCCATTTAGAAATGTTGATTCGCTTTTAATATACTTATTAGAAAAACCATCAATAACTTCTTTTGCAAAGAATGTATTTACATTAAGTGCGTAACCATATGTCATTGAATCATTAGTAATTTTTTATGAATTAATTGTGTTTTTCTTTCATTCAGTTTATAGATATTTTTACAGAAATGAATCACGTGAATATATTGATAATCTTTCATCTCTTATTGATTTATCAAGCATTGTTACTTTGGAATTTCGAGACCGAAATCATTTAAGACAATCACATATTGTGCCGTATATTTTATTGTAAGTTTAATTGTTTAGAGAAGTTTAAGATAAATATGTTGGATTAAGAATCTCATAGAAAACTATCTAGAGAAGTACTAGACTCTAGTTAATATCTTACAGATCTGGTATAATCATTTGTTGTCCAACTATTTATTTTTTAATTCAGTCTTTTATAACAGATTTACGAAAAGTATATTGTAAATAGTTTCATTACGTTTATGTACTTAAAATTATAGTAATGAATATTGATTGCAAATATGTAAAAGTCTGAAAAGTGAACGTAGGAAAAATCGATTATCTCAAGAATAAAAAAAAAAATACTTCGGATTGATCAAAAGTTTTGATTACAGTGACTTGTCCCTCTTCTTGCACAATCGACTGAGAACTTGTGGTTAACTCTTAATCGAGAATTAAATTCTCTAGAATATCCACTAAAAATAAAATTTTTGAAATGCTAATAAGTTGACCAAATATTCAAAAGATCGACAATAACTATTAAAACTATGAGCAAAATCGATGTTATATTCGAAATCAGCATCGAAAACTAATATGGAAAACGCCGGTTGTAAAATATATTTAACCATAAAAGATTAATCCTTTATTAGCCTCAGATACTTCAGATGTTTTCTCGCTTAGTTTTCGACGGTGATTTCGAATGTGGGAGTGGTTTTGCTTGAAAATGAACTGTTGATGGTCATATAAATCGATTTTGCTCCTAGTTTTAATAGTTATTGCTGTTCTTATGAATATTTGATCAAACTACATGGTGTCTGGAAAGTAACTTCCTATTTTAAATTCTTTTTTTTCTCTTTAATAAGAATAGATATTGTATTACTTTTTTTTACTATTTTGAAGCATGCTTTATATGGTTTTGTTTTACATAAGAAACTAGATGGTATTCGAGCTTCACTCGAATACGAAATGCGGTGCGA